TTCTCAAGATTTGTGAAGATGTCTGCTTTTATTTTATAACTATATACTTGTATGGCTTTAGTGTATGCTGTAGAACTTTATTCTATACAAAAAAAAAGTCAGTTTGGTCTTTTAATATGTCACAAGTTTTTGACATGTCGGCTCATAATTTATTTAATTTTTCTCTTAATTATTGTTTGAATGTTTTCACTTCTCAACTTTGTTCTCAAACTCTTAAATCCTCTCTTCTGCTTAATCTCATGTACTGGTTTTGCAGCAAGTTTATTTGACTCAATGAGCTTTCCATTTATACAATTTTGTTTGTCCCTCTCCCCCATCTCTCTTTCTGGAGTGACCATTAGTATTCTGCATTGTATTCCTTAATTTTTCAGCTGCTTCCTTGTATTTTCTTGAAAAATTATACATTTTTAAAAGCCACTTTTTAAAAATTCTTTATCTGGCATTTCATCCACTTTATCTTGGTAGTTATTTGTTAAAGAATTCTGCCTTTGGGAATAAGTCATGTTGCCTTGGTCTTCCATGTTTCTATGTTGAGATTTATGGTCTGTTGGTCCTGAATCTCTTCTAATTTTGTGTTAGAGATGTTTAAGGGAACAGCCTTCTCTTGGTGGTGTTTTTAGACATCAACTTGCTGGGAGTACTGAGCGTATTTCCAATTGAATTTTGTAGTATTAGTTTCCCTGTTTTGTTTGTTTTATTTTGTTTGTTCGGTGAGGATTTGCATATTTTGGCACAACACCTAAGTGTCTGCTTTCTTCTCGGGTGTGAGAAGTATGGGGTCCTTCTACTAGATCAGGGGACATGTCATGACGGCAGAGTCTATGGGGTAGACTCAGCACTCTAAGTTCCGAAGTGTCCTAGAACCTCCCTTTGCTCCACTGCCTTCCAGGCTTCACACTCTTTATCCTTGTTTCTTTAGTTAAAGTATCTGCGGAACTGTTGGCAGGAGTGGAATGTACGTAGAGCACTCTGCCCTGACTCATGGCTGGCAGAGCTGGACTCACTTTAGTAGCATTGTACCAGGGCCACACTGGTAGCACAGCACCATTTGTTTTGTGTTCCAGAGAGGTGGGGGTGGGGGTGGGGGTGGGGTTTACGGAGATTCCTGCTTCCCGAAGCAGCATATTCAGGCACAATTGCCTCACGATGGCTCACACTGAGAACTGCAGAACGCTTCTTCAGTGCTGGCAAATCACCACACAGCTTCCACATACATCAGCTGAGACCACACTGCCCTTCCCTCTGCCTCTGCCTCTGCGCCGGCAACTCCTACCCCGTGTTCCCCTCTTTCCCATTCTTTCCCTTTATTCCTTTCTCCACCATACTGGAGAACTGTCACTGCCTCAGCACTAACGTGCTGCTTATTCTCACCCGTCCCAATAAGAAGACTGTCTAGGTGTCCCCAAGCCTGGTCTTTCCAATATTAAACTTGAGTACGTCTCTCCCACCATCCACCTTGCCGAGGAGATGTCGTCAACCTGCTGGGGGCCAGGAAGAGTTGCTAGCCTCTAATCTACCTGGCTCCATCATCAGCCTTGTAGTCAAGTTTAGGGACTTTAATATCTACTGGCCACTGCCCAAAATGACAGATGCTGGGCAAGTTTAATCTCTTCTCTCAGCTTAATCAATAACAGAAGAAATATAAGGGAGAAACCTTAAAAGATGAGGTAATCCCACTTCCATGTCAATTTTATTCCAATTTGAAACAAGGTCTCACTTTGTAGAAAAAGCTGGTCCTGGAATTTTTGCCCTGCCGTCCTCCCTCCCGCGTGCTAAGATTACCCCCCTCGGACTACGGAGCCAGCCTCTCTTAGTTTTAGTTAAACTATAGCAAGGCATGGTAATAGGAAAACTTCTAAATTCATTACATAAAGCTAGCCTCCTCTGGTTCCTACACCCGTATAAAGTTTCACCAACCTCATTTATGAGTTATAAACATAAAATCGTAGGTGAATCAGTACAAAACATATTTTAAAAACACAGCAGGCAGTATTCAAGGCCGTGTTTTGAAAATATGTCCTTATTTTAATTACATGTGCGTGGGTGTTTGCCTACATGTATAGACGTACGCCACATGTGTATGGTGCCTGTGGAAGCCAGAGGAGGGCAAGAAGAGGGCCTCGGATCCCCTGGGACTGGAGTTTTATAGATGGTTGTGAGCCACCGTGCATGTTGGGAACTGAACCCTGAGCCTCAGAAAAGAGAGCAAGCGCTTTTACCGGCCGAGCCGTCTTTTCAGCCCCCAAGATTGTGTTTTCAGAAGTACATCATGAGTTAGACAAGCTCATTCCAGAGAGGATAGAGCATTATAAAATCCACTTTATAAACCACCCTGTTAATAAGGCTAAGGAAAAAAAAATAATCATCTCCATAAATTCAGAAGAGGCACTTGATAAAATTCAAGACATATGTATTTTATTTTATTTTTTATTCAACAAATATGTACCAAGCACCTGTTCTTTTATAGTACTGAGGCTGCCTGAGTGAACAGAAACTGCCTCCATCCCAACCCTCACACCAACAAAGGGAAACGGTGGGTGGGTAAGCGAGTGAGCGAGGGGATAGGCAGCTTTACCCAGCACATTACTTACATGGAACTCAGTCATGTAAATGTGTGTATGGATCGCGTTAGTATAGTGAACAAACCTCTGCCAAAGACTCCCTTAAATAGAGAGACACGAAAGGTTTTCTCCTAGGAGCCAGAAACAAGCGAAAAGTGCTCACCCTGTCTGCGCCTTTTTCATTTTAGGAGGCGGGGCCAGGGTCTCAGGCCATACCTCAGGCTGGCCTCAGTCATGTGGTGATCCTCCTGCCTCAGTCTCCCAAGTCCTGGGATTCCAAACATGTGCCCCTGTGCCCACCGTGCAGCACTTAATATCAAGCTTAAGGAAGACATTGGCGACAGGAGAATGCAGAACTGAAAACAGGCATTAAAGACGAAGCTAAGATTGTCTCCATTTGCGGATTACAAAATGTCGAGTTGCAGCTGCTTTTCATTGGTTAAGAAACCACAGCAGCTCCCACAAGCTTCAAACAAGTATCCCCAAAGAATGGACGAGGGCTATCCCAAACAATAGAAAGTTTAGTCAATTTGGCCTGTTTAAAAATCAGCATGAAAATTAGTCGGGGGGGCCAGTGAGATGGCTCAGTGGGTAAGGGTGCTTCCTGCTAAGCCTGGCCACCCGAGTTCCATCCCCCCACCATCCCCCCAGATCCGCACTGTAGAAGGAGAGAACCAGTTCCTGCGAGCTGACCTGTGACCCCCACATACGTGCCGCGCTGCGCTTCCATTCAGAAGTGTACTTATGCATGCTACGTCTGACTTTCCATAGGGTCTGGGGACCCCAAACTCAAGGTCCCCGTGCCTGTGTGGCAAGTGCTTTTTATCCACCGAGCTAGCTGCCCGGCCCTCAATACTCCCGCGAGAAGCAAACGTGGACTCGAAGAAATGACCGGGACAGTGTCCTGTTGTTTGAGAAGATGGCACGTACGTGGGCATCCACTTTCTGTAACGCGAATGCGATCCCCGACCATGATCACAGACTTGTGAAGGCTTTCCTGGGAGCCTAAGAGCTACCCGGGAATACCTCTTCATTCACAGTGCTGTGTGCGCTGGTTGGTAGAGGCTGGAGGTGCCAGGGCCCGGAACAAGCTGCTGAGGAGCAGCTTGAGAGAAGATGGCTTGGCTTTGGGATTATGCCCTGTTTATAATCATTTCCGCGTCCACGTGTCCCTTCTCTAAACTCTGACCCAGGTGGTCCCCCAGGGTCCGGCATTTGTTTCCTGGTGTCAGACCCAGCACCGCTGAGCGTTGTGCCTCAGCTAATTTGCCCACCTCTGCGTGGTAACGAGTCTTCCACCGGTCCCCACCAGGGGTCACTTGAGGGGTCTGGACCCCGTTCTGGTTTATCTCAGCCTTTGTGGTTTTCCTCTTTGGCTGGGCATCGCTGAAGCCACGGCTGTGTTTCCGGCCTCTCCCCCTTCAATTCTCCTCACTGGTACCTTCGTCCTCATCCTGAGCCTGCTGTGTACTCACCCAGCGAGCGGCCTCCGGTTCCTCTCATCCTCTCATCCTGGTACACTCTCCCTCCATCCTCCATGCCTGAGAATTTGCACATTATTCAGTGCCATGTTCGAAGATTCTCTTAAAAAATAATTTTCCTTGTTTCCAGCTGAATTTGAAATGCTGGCATTTATCAAGGCAAATCGTCCTTTGATTTTGTGGTAATGTGTATCTCCTCTGAAGCTCCCTGTTCAACTGAATATTAATGCAGGCATCCTGTGGTACCTGGGTAGTTTCTGAAATAGTTTTCTTATTACACTGCACAGAGCTGGCATCAAAAATATCCTTGGGAGCAGATTAGGAGAAGCAAAGGGCTTAGCTTGGCCCAGTGACCTGGACCTGTCCATGAGATTTTGGCCTTTAGAAACTAGGAATTGGCTATAATCAGAGACCACTCGATTTTTTTTCCCCTGGGGGCCATTATAAGTACATAGAAATGAGGACATATGGGATCACACCCCTGGGCCAGGGTCCTTTTTAATACCTGGAACTGGCCCAAACTTCGCATAAAGAAGGCGTTGCAGGATTAACAATGTTTTGGATCGTTTTAACTTTATTATCAATCATGTGTCTGCGTGTGTCGGGTGTTGGCGAGCCTGTGCATCTAAATGCAGTTGCTGGAGGAGGCCAAAAGAGCACGTCGTCAGATCCCGGTGAACTGCTCCCCATAGGGGCTGGGTACCATACCTGCGGTCCTCTGCCAAACCAGTGTATGCGCGTACACTCTCCAGCCCCAATACTACGTTTTTACATTGCTCCTATTTAGAAGTGTATATATGTGCGTTGACCCATGCACAGCACTGCTGACTGTCCCACCTTGCTATTCGATTCATCTTTTGGTCAAAATTCAGCTAACAAGACAGGAGTCATTTGCAAGGAGCTGTACTTTGTGTTCCTACGAATTATTCTTCAAAACCGCATCTCTCTTCTCTTTCAGGAAACGAGAGGCTTTGAAGTCACAAGCAGAGAAGGTAGGAAAAAAACTTTACTTACATCTATATCCTTCCCGGCGCTGACATTTTGGAAGTGGTTTAGCTGAAACTTGAGCCTATGGGCAGCCTGTTCTTTGAAATGCCATGTGGCCTTTTCTGCTTGCTAGCTGTTTGCCTCGTGGCTCAGGAACTTAAGGCTGGGTTTGCCTGTGAAAACAGGGGCTTGTTCCCGTACCTTGAAGTATCAGAGATGGCTCCTGGGATCTGGCTTGCTCAAGAGCACATCCACGGTCTCTGAAGATGACTCTCACTTTTGAGTGACGTTTGAAGTCATTTGGTTTCATCCAGTGGAAAACATCAATAACAGCCACACCAAAAACAACAACGACAGCAGCAAAATGGCTTATGGTTTGGGGAGTATGTTTCACTATAGGACAGGCAAAGCACTATGAAAAATGTTTCTGATTAGATTTTTACAGCTTCAGCTAAGCCAGAATAGAAATAACCAATTAATTTCCCCTTTGAAAACAATTCCGTGATGTTCCGTTTTCCCTGCCAGCCTTCCTCTGGCACGTTTGTGTTCTGGTCTCAGAGGTAAGCATGTACAGATGGCAATTTCAGAATCTTCTAACGGAAATTTCTCTTATTTACTTTCAGTAACAGCTAGTCTCTAATGAGCAAATGTCTTTTGTGCGATTTGTGGAATCATCTCTTTCTTGTAGGAATTGGAGGGAATGAATAAAGTCAGAAACCACAGTTGTGTCCTAGGTCTAGTACTCAGGCTTTGATTTCAGCCTTAATCACACTCTTCTCTGTGGAACCGTATCCAAGAAGAGTCACACTGGGGTAGGAAAAACACTCTCGCCTCCCAAGTCAAACATGTCTCTCCTTCTGGCTAGTTGGCACCTGTGGTAAGCATGGCAAGGAGAAGCTTGGATAACCAAGGTACCGCCTTGCCACTTGAGAGCTTGATAACATCCTGGTGGCATTGTCCCGACAAATCGCCCGTGTGACCGTTGTCTGTGCTTCTGAAACAGTCCATCCGGAGGACCTGGGTGACCTGATTCTAATGTGAACTCTCTGGCCTCAGTGGACTCAGTATGCAGTGGCCTTGAGACCATTGCCACAGGGCAAACAAAGCACATTCTTTGGATATTGATACTGAATTAAATTGGATGACAGCAGATTGGGGCAGGGAGTTACTTTTGAAGATCATATTCTCGGTGGGAACAGTGACTGTCAGCTGGAGAGAAGTAGCCGCAATAAAGGTAGACTCTGGCATGAGCTGTAGCTTTGAATAATAAGCTGTCCGCGTGAGTACTCCTGGCTGGGAACATCCACAGTTAATTTGCCTGAAGGGATCACATATAAACTTAACCTTTTTTGTAATCTTACTGCCTCTGTGCTGAAAACACCTATGATTAGACTGGCACTATGGGACGGCCCTATGTATTGCTTTCCAAAGACAAAAAAAGAAAGAAAGAAAACCTTGTCTTTGGAACTAACAGGGCTTAGAATTCCTTGAGGGCGAGTATGCCAGGAAGGGCACAGACATGGGTGGGCTACGCTGTCTTCATTCACCGCTCCTGGCTCCCTTAGCATCAGCTTCTGAGGCGTCTGACTGAGAACGTGGTCTTTGAGCTGTTGCTAGCACACCTCTCCTGACAGCACAGACTTAGTTTCCTCCTATTGTGAATGATGCTTTTTTTTTTTTTTTTTCGTGTCAGCATTGAGTGGTTAAGAGTTTTTGATGTCAGTGCCTGTCATGTGACAGTTAGAGAGGGAGGTTAGGGCCTTGAAGGATACTCCAGGGAATTTGGAGTCTGTGAACCCACTGCCATGGGCTGTGTGGATCTTTAGAATAGTATTTAGTGTTAAAAAAAAAAAAGGCATAGAAATGCTGTGAAAAATTCACCAAATTATTTCTATCAACAAAAATAATCACAAGCCAGGCGTGGTGGTTCACGCCTTTAACCCCAGCACCTGGGAGGCAGAGGTAGGTAGATCTCTGTGAGTTTGAGGCCAGCTGGTCTACAAAGCAAGTTTCAGAACAGTCAGGCTTGACACACAGAGAAACCCTGTCTCAAAAACCAAACCAAACCAAAACTCCAAAATAGATGATTATTGTCCAGCAGTGTACATACTGCCTGGACTTGACCTGGAGCAGAAGGAGAACCTAGTCATGCTCAATTCACCAAGCCCAGGAGGGTTCATAGTCTGAGAGAGAGAGACTTTGAGTCTATAAAGGCTTGTAGGTGTGTTTTGTTTGGGGCACCAGCTCAACCCGAGAGTTCATGTCCCAAACACGTGACACAGTGCAAGTCCCCACTGTGACTTTCGAAGTGTTTGACTAGGTCTGTGTGGTGAGGTGGCCACTAAGCTGGGAGGTGATGGAGTCTAGGCTGAATCGCAGAGTGGGCAGGGCCCAGGGAAGCGAGTGCCTGTGACTTTATTCAGCGCGCCTGCAGCCTGTGTGCTTTGGGCCTCATGCCCAGTCGCCTCTGCCTCAGACCATCCAGCTCTTTCCTGAAGCATCTGGCTTACGTACGCTGCTAATCTACCCTATTCATCACCCAAGTGCAGAAACCTCTTCCATTCCTCTCCATGCTCCCTCAGTCCTAGGCCAGGGCTAGTAATTTATTTAATGTGTTTCTTTTTTAATAGAATATTTTCATAGTTGAGAAATTTCATGGGTGCAATGTATTTTGATCATACTCATCCCCCATTCCTCCAATCCCTCCCAGATCCACCCCTACATCCACCCTTTTCAACTTTGTCCTTTTTTTTCTTTCTTTTTTTTTTTTCCAGAAATCATTGAGTCCAACTTGTACTGCTCAAGCGCATGAGCCTGAGGGCATCCACTGAGACTGTTAGATGCCACACCTTTAAAGAAAAATGACCCTCTCTCCCATAGCAAACAGCTGTCAGCAGTTTTCAAGCTAGAGGTGGGAGGCAGTGAACCCCTCCCTGTCCATGCTAGAATGTTGACTGGCTTGTAGGTGAGTTCAAGTGCAGTGGTCCCGTAATGCCCCGAAGGCACTGTTTCAACACAGTCCTCTCTGCCTTCTGGCTCTTAGAATCTTTACGGCCCTCTTCCTTCTCTTCCTTGATGTTTCCCAAGTCTTGGACACAAGAGATATGGTGTAGATGTCCCAGTTATGGCTGAGCACTCCACAGTCATTTATTCTCTGCATTTTGACCATTTTGTGAATTTCTGTGTTAACACACTGTCCACTGTGCAAAGATGAGGTCTGAGAGTGGCATCAATCTATGGGTGCAGAAAAAACATGAACCTCTTGGGCTGGAGAGATGGCTCAGAGGTTAAGAGCACCGGCTGCCCCTTCCAAAGGTCCCAAGTTCAGTTCCCAGCAACCACCCGATGGATCGCAACCATCTGTAATGAGATGTGGTGCACCCTTCTGGCGTGCAGGCAGAGCACTGTAGACCTAACAAGCAAATATTAAAAAACGAAGTAACATCCTGTACACTGGGAAGCTGGAGACAGTTTGTTATGTTGTCCATTTAAAAACACAGCAGTAGCAAGTTTATCCCAAGAGCTCCCCGGCCATGGTTTCTTGGCTAGATTTGCAGTATCGGCCACACATTTCCTCCTGTGGAGCAGGCCTTCTATCCGACCCTGAAGTGGCTAGTAAGCTCCATAATGCCCACGTCACCATTGCACCCACGGAGGTATCTTGCCAGTTGTCAGTGTAGCTTTCCCAGCTCACAGCTGGGCAAGGCTGGTGAAGGATGACTTTTCTCTCCCATCAGGCCACCTAGGACCTTGCGGCAATAATTATTTCTTGAGTTAAATACAAGCTGCCCTTTTGCACCCTGGTCTCGTCTTCATGATATACCAGTGAAAACCCAAGACCTTTGGGTTTTAAAAAGATAATTTAAAAGAGCTATTCTGAGTTGTTACTACAAGTTTTTAAGACACTATTACAGTTCTCCAGTGTGCATTGCCACCTCTGGTAATGTTATAGCCAAGTATGTTCTAATAAAAAGAAAACACACATTCTGTTTATGTCCTTTGGATGTTTCTGGGCGATGCATTGATGAGAGGGTTTCAGGTTCAAATAAGCCTGGTGTCACGTGGTGACTGCAGAGCCATATTTCAAGACTCTGTCCTCAAAGAAAACATACAGACTGACAAAAAAAAAAAAAATAGTACAGTGAGGTACTAAGCCAGAATCTGTGAACATGATCTTATTTAATAGGATCTCTATTGACAATAGACATACCAAGTTAAGGTAAAGTCATACTGGATCGGCTTTGGCTTTAGTCTCATGAGTGGCGGTGGGACCTTCATATATAGACACAGAAGAAGAAGGCCATGCGAAGGTAGAGCAGGGCATTGCTGGCAGCCGCTAGCTAAGGGGGGTGGGGGTGGGGAGAGCCTTCAGAGAGGAGTCCAGTGAACAGTCCAGCCAACTCCTCCGTAGGTTTTGGTCTTCTGATTTTCAGAACTGTGAGAAGATGAATTCCCTGCCTTTGAAGCCTCCTAGTTTGTGGTACTTTAATGCATCAGCCCCGGGCACCAGTACACTCAAAGTGCTGAACTGAAAAAAACCCAGATAAGTTGGGAGGCTGCGGTTGAGTTTGTTTGGGCTGCAGAATCGCTCCGGCTTTTGTGTTAAATACACTCTCAGTGGGGAAGATAATAGGCAGCAGTCCCCAAATCGGCTTCCCAAGGGATGGAACAAATTTAACTGAGCTGTCTTGGTTGTTCATGGCTGGCCCTGTACTCAGTGCCTTCTTGGGGCCTGCTCCAGCAAATCTAGGCAAGGGGAGAGCTTCCTCAGTGGCCTGGCACAGGGCTGAGCCGCCTGGAAGGGTGAGGTAGGCGCAATGATGCCGACTTACTTATTATGAAGCTCCAGAGAATTCTGTAACTCCCTTGACCGTCAGTATGCCATGACCCAAGCCAAGCAGGCAGTACCTTGCACTAAAGATGCCTCCGTTTGCCAGTAGAGACAAGGACTGTAGCAGAAAGCCACCTGGAGCTGTCTTTTTTAAAACTACTTTATTTGGGACGT